CATGCCAAAAGGGGGCGTTGGTATCATGCAGGCGAAGGGGGCGGGGCCAGAGGTGGGTGTGTGTCTCTCAGCTGATGCTCGTATCAACCGACCGACTCCATCATCAGCATCCGACTCTGACAGCGGTCGAAGCCAACCGAACCAGACCCGGGAGCGATTCGGAGCCCGAGCGAAAGCAGGAGCCGCCGCCGCCCCGCCGCCTCCCTGACAGCACCGCTCACCGGGGCTGCCATCTTACCGAGCAGCGGGCTTCGAATCAGTGAGTAGCCTTTGATGATGACGGAGCGCCAGGATGCTACAATCGGTAAATCAAAGCATTGCTGCATGATACGTCGTCAATGTCAATGACGCTGTGCGTTTTGATCCAGATCATTGTTGTTATTGGTGCCGTTATCCGTATTTTCTCAACGAGGCTCGTGCGGATGGTTTTTTTTTTTTCTTTTTCTCTTTCTTTTTGCTGTCACAGGCCTGTAGCGAGTAATTGTTTAGGAGCGCAGTGGATTCAGGGCTTGATGCGGATGCCGTAAAGCCGCCCTTGCCGCCCAGGGATGCAGAGAAAAGGGAGAGCAGGGAGTCGTGAGGGGAGGGGATTGAGGCAGAGCAGCACATATATAGACTCTGGGTTTTGTTTTGTTTTTTGTTTTTTTTACTACTACTGTTATTCATCCAAGTGGAAGTAATCCTCGAGTAAATGGGCTGAGGAGGGGAGGTGCATGGCATGACCACATCTATACCCATCTAGCTACCTGAGGGCTCAAATAGGTGCATTTAAAATGTAAGAAATGCAGCATAAACACGTTGTTCTTCCTGTTCGCACACATGCAGACTTTATTTGGTGCATGAGATAAAATAATTCAAGCAACCCTATTTTAATGAAGGCTGGAGCTCCAGAAGGCTGGTTCACTTTATGYTCATTTTTGATTTGTGGTGCGGAAGCATGTGTTTTGCTGTTATCAAAAGGAAGAAGCTATAATTTGCTGATGATTCTGCCTGTGGAAGCAGGCGTGGAACATATGATCCAAATCCCTACAGACCTGCAGGGTCTTACAGAGACGTGTTTGTGTCGTTGACAACTCCCACTCAAAGCAGAGGTCCTCAACACTTTAAATGTTAGGACAATAAAAAGATAGTTTACACAGCTTGAAGTGGAGTTCTGTGCAAAGGTTATCAATCAGTGTCTTACCTGTTGTAGATGGCTCTTTGAATGACCTCATTTTTGAGAATCKGTTTGTTTTTAACCCAGTTAATGAGCTAATAGCAAAGTGGATGGCTGCTGTCCTAAAACAGATCCAATCTAAAACATTATATTGGTTCATATAAAATAATTATTCATGTCTTAGTCTCTTAGAAATTACATGGCTGTTATTAACCTCCTCTGAGAACAGGAAGGCAGGTAATAATGTCCTAGCATTTGTTTGTTTACGTTGCCATAATATCTCWTGAACTACAGGATGAATTTAAATAAAACTTTCTAAAAGTAATCATCAAATATTCATATGAATTATCTTTTGGCGTTAACTCAAAATATCTGTTGCAGTCTATTTCATAAAACCAACAAGCATGGTTATAATAGTCAGTTTCATAGTAGCTGAGACTGATTCACCAACACATATTCTAAGTATTTAGGACAGCATCAATCCTCTTCGGTCTTGGCCTCGCTTAGATATAAAACACTTCTTGTGTTTTTGACCAGACTAATCTATGTGACCTTTTTGATTTTCATCATAATAGAACAGGGGTCTGCAACCTCACAGAGTTCTTTAGCTRGTTTTAAATGATTTCGTGGAATTTTGACCAAAAAAGACTCAAACCTAAGTAAAGTTTACATTTATATCCGCAATAGAAATGTGCATTTTACTCTTTTTTTTTTTAATCCAGACTTTTCTTATTTCATGCATGTATTATCTACAGCAGACCTTTACAGAAGCCATTCAGGTGGATTGGAATGAATGTAAGCTCAAGTTTTAGTTTTAACAAAATGAGTACATATTGTATATAAAAGCACTGCGTACACAGTAACTTTATTACCAGACTGAACTAATGACAACTTCAAAACTAAAATGTGTTTAAAAAGCAATAATGGGATTTACTGTTGAGCTAACACTCAGTCTGTTTGGTTCTTGTTTTGTTTATGCCACTTTCAGGCATGACCCTTTACAGCAGGGCTATTCAACTGGTGGCCCGCGGGCAAAATCCGGCCCGCGAGTGCCCAAAGTTCGGCCCGCCAATTGGTTCAGTTATCTCTTAAACTCAAAKCCCRGGTTTTCTACTTTATTGACTTTAAGTTKTTTTAGTTAAACACATTTGGTATTTACAYAAARMTCAGAATCTTGTCTAGAAGCTGGTAAAAACCATTTCTGTGCACYCTCGAGACAGTTAAAATTAGAAGCAGTTGAAGATAAAACCYTGAAATTGAAAATAAAATTGGTWTAAAAATTTGGCAAATKCGAGATGTCAAAATAATATTTGTGTCAAATAGGAGACATAATAAGCTCTTTTTGTTTATAATATTATTTAATTATCACTACTTTTATAGGGTTCTGTATGTTACATTCATGATTAAATGCAGCAAAATAAACTAATTCAAAGGTAACAAATCTTTGTAATACTTGGTTTTTATTTACATAATGACTTTAATTGCTGGATGTTCGGCCCCTCAGCTCTTGACCTGCAGTAACTGTGGCCCCTGGAGCAATATAGTAGAATTGCCCTGCTTTACAGTGTGATCGCTTTCTAAATCCACCAGTAAATTAACATTTAATCAACATATTTTGAAGCTAATTTTTGCACATTCATTTCAAACGACCAGATTTTAAAGCATTAAGTAGCAAAAATAAGACATCCAGGCGACATGCAGCAAGTTGTTCTTATGAACAAAGTAAAGATCATGCTCTGTAAAGGTCAAGTCATCGTTCAGTTAAGCGAAGCTRGCGGCCCTTTATTTGAAGACAAACCTTATATAATGTAAATGCTTCATAAGGGTTAAATCCGTTTTGTGGCTCTTTGCAGATTGGGTGTAAGAACGGCTCTTCCAGTTTTAAAGGTTGCAGACCCCTGTGGCAGGAGGACCGTGGAGCCCCTGAATGTGGGCGGGACTCTGCTCTATGTCTGATGTTGTATAATTACGTCATGCAATTACAATCTTGTATAACTGCTTTCGTTTCTCTGTGTTCCTCTAGTGTGTGTGCCCCCACTACCTGCATTAGGTTGTGATGACCCACACTACTGCCAAATGTTTCTGTGACCCTCCCCAATCCTGACTCCTAACCTCTAATCCCTGACCTTTGACCTCCACTATGGGCAGTGTTGGCAGTGGGGTGGCAGGAGAGCAGGAGTTTGCCATGAAGTCCGTGGGCACGAGGACCACCCTGCCCAGAGCTCCTCCTCTCTCTCGCCGTTGCCCTGCCGACCGCAGCTGCAGCGCTGAGCGGCTGCCCCGGCCCCCGGCGACCATATCGGACGGGACGGCGTCTAGCGATGAACGAGGGAGCGTCAGTATCGGGACCGGGACCTGCACTGACCGGCCCACCGAAACGGCCTCCTCCACCCACACCGAATGCACCATGACCGCCCCGTCCAACAACAACCAGCTGGACTGCGGCGCCACGGCCGTCAGGAGGGAGTGGGAGAGCGTGAGGCAGCGTGAGAGGGGGAGAGACCGGGACCGGGACCGAGACTGGGACCGGGAGAGGCTAGAGAGGGAGCGCGAGAGGGAGAGGAACCGGGAGAGGGAGCGGGAACGGGTGGAGAGGGAGAGGCTGGAGCGCGAGAGGGAGCGCGAGAGGGAGCGGGCCAGGGAGAGGGAGAGGGAACGCATCGAGAGGGAGAAGATAGAGCGAGAGAGGGAGCGAGAGAGGGAGAGGGAGAGGATGGAGAACGAGAGGATGGAGCGGGAGATGCAGGCGGCGGGTTTGGACGTCTGCGGGAACATTGTGGGCCGGGTGGTGGTGGAGAAGACCAGCGTTGGCGTGAACCACCACCCGCACAGAGAGATGGCCGCCACCAGAGCCGACGGTGAAAACAATCCAGTCGGTCACAACCCGCCGAACCACAACCCGCCCAAGATTATGGCAGTGTCAGGAAAACTGGAGCAGGTACTTCCACTTTCAGGACAGAGATATTTAAGCTGAAGGCCTGCGCCGTAAACGGATAGTTCAGATATCTCAAACTGGGGTTGGTAATCAGTACTGATGAGCAGTCAGTATATTACCTGCTTCAGACTGCAGGCAGAGTGATTTCAGTTTGAACAGTCAGAGAGAAATTCCCTTAAAACAAATCCTTAAAATAAAATATCTATTGTAACTTTTATTCGGCATCACTTATTTATCTGAAGAACAGCCATGTCTGAGGTTTGTTACAAAAAGTCYAAACGTTTCACTAAAGAAGAATCCATTTGGTTCCCAAAGTTGGGCTTGGGACCTAATTATGGGTCATGAAGCACCTTGGATAATCTACAGAAATCAATTTAAAGGGTAATAAAATAATTGCTGATGTAATATTTTCCCTATAATTATCACAAAAACACAAAACAAGTATAAATAAGTTTTTATATTTGTGAATAAGCTGTTTCGATTGTCAAAAAGCCTGTGTTTTTAGGGTTATTAACGAAGTTCATGTACTCAGACCAGTAATATTTGGGGTCAAAAGTTTTTGCCCTGGATAGTTTGTGGTTCAAAAGATAAAAAGTTTGGGAACCACTGATCCAGAGGACCTACTTATTTGTTCTTTTTGACTTGTTATAAAAAGTTTTTTATATAAAAAAAACAACCTTCAAAATTAACTATGAGCATGCCCAGTTCACGTTATTACACAGGCTTTAGGTTTTAGAGCATAACTTCCCTAATAATAGACCTAAATTTATGCCCTTGCGTTATTATCTAATAATAAAAAAAAACACAGCTAATATTTATAAGTGGTAAAAGCTCAGACAAATATGGCTCTATGTTTTGCTTTGTCAAATCAAGAACAACTATAGAGTGCAAAATTTAAATTCCGGAAAAATGTTCCGTATTGTTTATGATAAAAGTTCAACTCGTTTTATTTGACCAAAATTAGCATTTTAGCTGAACTACGGATATTACGGTAGTTCCCAAAAATAACTTCAGTTAAAGCAAAAACAACTAAACTGGTTCCWTATCAATGAAACTGGATTGATTTTCACTTTTCAACCACAGGTAAACAATAGCTCAAAAGTTCCAGAAATGAAATTCAAACTCATGCATGATTTATGCTACAGAGTTGTAGTACCGTAAATGTTCTTAATGTTACCATACTGATAATCTTTCTTCCCTGGTTGTGTTTCCAGGCCATGCAGAGCAGCTCCGGACTCGTTCGACCCTCCGCCTTCAAGCCGGTGGTTCCTAAGAGCTTCCACTCCATGCAGAACCTGGTGGCCCAGGCAGGAGGGGCTGGGAGCGAGGGGAAAGCTGACGGCAGGGGTGAGGGCTTCGGTGAGGGCAGAGTAGGCAGGAGGGGAAGAGACGGAGGGGGAGGGGAGACGGGGGAGGTGCCAGAGGCCCTGCTCCTGGACCAGGACAGCCCGGTTAGGGTCAGCAGGAGTGAGGGAGGGGGAAACGGTACTGAGGTGGTTCAGGGAGGGATGTCAGATTCAGGGAGGAACTCCCTGACCAGTCTGCCCACCTACACAGGCTCGGGGTCTGGCTGCGGGCCTCCGGCAGTCTTGGGGCCGCTCAGTGCTTCCACCAGCCACATTAACAGGCTGGGCATGGCTGGGGCCGCTGCAGGCTTGGAAAAGATGGAAAAGCCCGGCTACCAGGTATGACCGCTGATTTATATATATATGTTGCATCCTAATCATCTGACGTGAAATCATGACGTGGCTCTGTTCTGCAGAACGGCCTCAGCGCCTCAGACAGTGGCCGGTCCTCCTCGGGAAAAAGCTCCTCGTCCTATCAGAGGCTGAGCCACCTGAGTGACGCTCCAGCACCTCTGCGACCCTCCCCTTCCTCTGATGACATCATCCAGGACCTCGAGGACCGACTGTGGGAGAAAGAGCAAGAGGTCTGAGACCAACCAGAAGTGTCAGGCAGTTTGATTCCATGGCATTATAAATTTATTAGATCTGTTCCTCAAAAACTAAAAAATGAAAAGAAAACATGTTTTATTTTTGTTTTGATTTGAATGAATGAAAACTAAAGTATGAGAGATGGACGCTGATCAGTCCCAATTTTAATAAATGAACCATTCAGGCAATATTTGCTTAAGTTTACTCTTTTAATTATGCATTAAAAGGTCCTCCTCAGCCATTTTTTTATGTAGCTGAATCATCTTATCTATAAACTACTGTTTTCAAATTTAAAAAAATCAAGCTTTACAGCTGCAAATAATACAGATAATTTATATATTTTTTGCTTTCAAGTGCTGTTCACATCGTTATGGTTCAGGATGTTACCAGCCTTGTGGAGCTGGATGGGAAATGTAAAAGTTGGATTTCTTTTAAATATTTAAGGAAAAAATGCTTTAAATTTTAAACTCCTGCCTAAAGAATTTATAGCCCCCCCATGCAGCTTGACAGTGTTTGTGAAAGGACATCCAGGACGTGTTTTTGCTGCTAACTAACAGGAAGTRCCGTATATTGGAATTTAATTTCGGCTGTGAGCGGATGATGATGGGTCTGATTCGCCTCTTTCTGTCCCGCAGGTGCAGCACATGCGCAGGAACCTGGACCAAAGTGAAGCCGCAATCATTCAGGTGTTTGAGGAGAAGCAGCGAGTTTGGGAGCGACAGATGGACGAGCTGAGGCAGAACTACGCTTCACGCCTGCAGCAGGTGACCGCGGCGCGTGATTTACCTCAAATTCACTAAGATGCATTTGGTTTGGCTTGTACTGACCGTCAAATCTTGTCGAAAATCGACCTATGTGAAATTTTGAAAACAAATTTGTAATAATGAAACAAGTTTTATTTTCTCTTTTTACTCTACAATTAGAGATGTGACTTTCGCGAACAATCCGAATCTTTTGAACGGCTTTTTACAGCGAACGATAGGAGCCGAACGGCAGTAGCGAGCCATTTGTAGTTTTATTTCTTTTATTCCTCATACAATCTTTATTTTTTCATGGTTAAATCGCTCCCGCTTTGCTTTTTCACAGAAAACTGGCGGAGTTGTGGAGTGCAGAAGCTCACGGTGAAAGGGGGAGGGGTGTTTCCGCTTGACAAACACATGGTTCCACCCACGTGACGGGATTACGTCATCACGTACGGCTACGTGATGACGTATTTCCCTACGTGATGACGTAATACATTCAAAATCGAAATCGGCCGGATCCCTTCAAAGAGCCATTTCTCCCATCTCTATCTACACTTAATAGAGCCTGCAAGTCTATAAAACTACAGGCAGAAAAAAATGTAGTTTATTATAAAACTAAACTTTTAAATCTGTCCCTACATTAAAACTCTTACAAATTCTCATAATGAGCATCAGTGGCATCACTAGGCCTAGTTTAAAGCCCCCCTAAATTATTTTGGTGTAAAAAATTATTTATTTATTTATTTATTTTTACAAAAAATCAATATGATGTGGTCAGAATAAATAACCGTTTAATATTTCATTATTAACTAA